GATGTGAGGACACACTGCGACCAAGGCAACTCTTATAAAGCATTTTATTGGGGACTTGCTTACAGTTTCAGAGGCTTAGTCCATTATCATCATGGCAGAGAGCCCAGGGGTAGGTGTGGCACTGGAGAAGCAGCTGAGAGACAGCCTGATCCTCAAGTAGAGAGAGACCCACACTTGGCCTGGCGTGAGCTTTCTGAAACCTCCACCCCCAGCGCTAGTGACACACTTCCTCCAACAAGGCCACACCCACTCCAACAAGGCCACACCTCCCAGCCCCTCTTAAACAGTACCACTCCCTGATGGCTAAGCACTCAACTATATGAGCTGTTCTTACTGACACCACACCAAACTAATGGCATACATGTTTTCCTCACTTCTTTTTCTTGGGTATATCCAATCTACTAACTTTTTTGAAATATCTAATTACTGCCACCCAGTTAGTCTACTGTGTTATCAGAAAATATTTTCCCTGGGCTGAGGGCATAATTCAGTGGTCCAATCCCAAGCACCATACCCAAATAGCTATGTCTTTTACTATTGCACCGTGTATCTGTTGATCATCCTCTCTCTACCCCTACGGGGCCCCAACCCCATTGTTTTTTTTCTCTTAAGTAGGTTCTCCATCCCTAAGCTTCATCAGGACCATGAACATAGGGAAAACATGGCACAGCTGGCCAGGCATGGTGGCACATGTCTGTATTCCAGGCACTGAGATGAGGAGGAGGATCCTGAGTTCAAGGACAGCCTTTTGACTCTCAAGAGTAGACTGCATTTTTATCCTCAAGGTCATGCTGTTCATAGTTCATGATCATTTTCTTTCTCTAGAACAATCCCCTGCTTCTTGGAAAAGGAGAAGTCACATTACTGCACACTTACCACGTGGTAGGAACACCGTACAGAGAAACACTATTGTGCTAGGGTTGTCTTTCTCTCCTGTGTTCCTAGACTTTATATGTAGGAAATGCACCAAACAAATAGCCATTTCTGAACTGAGCATGGTGACACATACCTGTGATCCCAGCATTAGGGAGGTAGAAGCAGGAGGATCAGGAGTTCAAGGTTATCCCGACTTCACAGTGAATCAGACAATAAAGGAACTTGTCACCAAGCCTGACACCTGAATTTGAGCCCCCAACCCACGTGAATGAGAAAACTGAGTCCCACAAATTCAGATTGTTCTCTGACCTCCATGTGCATGCTGCAGTGCACGCGCGCGCGTGCACACACACACACACACACACAGTGTGTAAAATAAACTAAAAACAAATTTTTTTCCTTAGGATGTAAGTAGGTCTTTCCACCTTGTTTTGAGGTCAGTATCATCTTTCAGCATTTCAGACAAGAAACCAAGCCTCAGAAACATGAGGTTCAACTATGAGGTGACCATCGAGTATGCTGAATCCAGCTAATCAGATCCAGGGCTTAGTGAATCTGCGTTGTTTCTGCTGTCAGACTTCTTTTTTTTTTTTTTTTTTTTTTGGTTTTTCGAGACAGGGTTTCTCTGTGGCTTTGGAAGCTGTCCTGGAACTCACTTTGTAGACCAGGCTGGCCTCGAACTCACAGAGATCCGCCTGCCTCTGCCTCCCAAGCCGTCAGACTTCTTATGTCCTATTTTTACCTTCCCATCCTAGTTTTCTTAGACAGGGTCTCACTGTGTACCCCAAGTATGATTTCAAGTTGCAATCCTACCTAAGCTTAGATTACTGGTGTATGCCACCATGCCATTCCCATTTTATTTTAGACAGGGTCTCCTGTAGTCATGTAGTCCAGGCTGGCCTTGAACTTGCTACACAACCAAGGATAACCTTGAATTTGTAATCTTCCTGCCACCACCTCCTAAGTGCTGGCATTACAGTGATGACCCACTACACGATTTTATGGAGCATTGGGGGTCAAACCCAAGATTTTGTGAATGCTATATAAAAACTCTATCAACTCCTCCCCCTTTTCAATAAAGATCTACCTCCATCCCCATAATATTCTTTCATTCTAGGATATGCACCTTTCTAACTTGGCAGAGATCCACTAAAATAAGTCTTCCCATTTGGAAGAACCTCCCAGAAAATATATTCCTAGGATAGACTGTGTGACAGTGGTTGACACTTTAGTGGGTTTATGACTCCAGTGCTGGGCTCCACTCCCAGGGTTTCTGATTTAGTATCTAGAGTGGGGCTTTGCTTAATGTAGACCTCACCATCCCCAGAATAAAGCCATCTGCCGTTTCCATAAAGTCTGAATGGAACACCCCATGCCCCCAAATACATATCTGCCTCTTCCCTAAGGTTTATCTTTCTTTGTGCCCTACCCCCAACCAAGCAGTTTACTCCCAGGCAGGTTTCCTGGGACCAGATGTGGAAGGTTGATAACTCTCACCTCAGCTTAGCACTGGGTGTTAATCTATAACAGGTCGCTTTGCACAAGGGTTTCTGTGAGAAGCAGCTGGTGAGCTTTTTTTGTTTTTGGTTTTTGTTTTTTGTTTTTTTTTTTTAAGATTTATTTATTACAGATACAGTTTGCCTACATGCCAGAAGAGGGCATGCACCATTTTCTGGTGAGCTTTATAGTGGGAAAGGAGTATGGTAGGATTCAATGGGATCCAGAAAAAATTTAGACCGGAGACTTGGGAACAGGTATGTACAGCACCCAGATTCTTTGTCCACTGTGACCTCTTGCCCACCAATGGGCTCAGCCCAGGACTTTTAAATTTGTTAAGGAGAGGGCCCTCTGCTGGCCACGTGGGGAGGTGCTGCTCAGAACAGAAAGGAGGTGGTTTCCTCCCTCTCACAGCACAGTAACAGAGCTCATCTCTTCCTTGGCTCCCTAACAAGCTAGGAAGCACTGGCCATGGAGAGGTGCCTACTACTACCTTTCCTGGACTCTGACTTACGGTCTTCAGAGACAAGGTCTTCTTTTTAGAGAGGTCCTTGTCCCTGTCCTGCTCCCCTGCCAGCAGTCGTGTCCCGTCCCGTCGTCGTGGTCCCCCCCCCCGTCTCATCACAGGCCCAGGAAACAACTGAGCCAGCAAACATGGCCTGAAACTTCCAAAAATGAGCAAAACTAAATCTTTTCTGTATACTTTGTAGGCTTTTTGTTTGTTTCTCATAGCAACGCGGACTAACATATAACATTTTGTTTTTAGAGGCAGGGGTTTTTTTCTGTGTAACAACCCAGGCTGTCTTAGAACTCACTTTATAGACCAGGAGGGCCTCAAACTCAAGAGACTCACCTGGGCTGTCTGGCTCCCGAGTGCTGGGATTAAAGGTATGTGACACCATGCCTGGCCTCAATATAGTAATTTAACTGAAGTGCTTAAATGTGTATTCTATCATTGAGCTACATTCATGCCCCTGAAGCATTTCTTTCTCCTCCTGTTATATGATACTATTTCCTTAGAAGGAAAGAAATAAGGGATTCTCTCTGCAAAAGCCTTTTCTTAAACATTTTTATTAATTTTTAAGTTTTTTATTATGTATAGTGTTCTGAATGTATGTATGCCTGCAGGCCAGAAGAGGGCGGCAGATCTTACTATACATGGTTGTGAGCATTAACTCAGGACCTCTGGAAGAGCAGCCAATGCTCTTAAATCGCTGAGCCATCTCTAGCTCCTATTTTTATTAATTTATGTGTATGAATGTTTTGTCTGCTTGTATATTTGTGCACCATATGCATGTTGGCGATCACAGAGGCCAGAAGAGGGTATCAGACAGATCTCCTGGAACTGTAGTTATGAAATGGTTGTGAGGCACCTGTGTGGGTGCTCAGAACTGAACCTGAATCCTCAGGAAGAACAGCAAGTGGTCTTTACCCCTGAGCCATCTCTTCAGTCATATATGCATATATGTGTACTATTTTCTTTTTCTGTGGCTGTGACAAAATTTCCTGCTAAAAGCACCTTAGGGGCCAGGTGGTGGTGGCATATAACTTTAATCCCAGCACTCGGGAGCAGACAGATTGTAAATTCAAGGCCAGCCTGGTCTACAGAGTAAATTCCAGGACAGCTTGGGCTGTTTTACAGAGAAACCTTATCTAAAAAAAAAAAAAAAAAAAAAAAAACAAGCTGGTCGGTGGTGGCACACGCCTTTAATCCCAGCACTCGGGAGGCAGAGGCAGACAGATTGTAAATTCAAGGCCAGCCTGGTCTACAGAGTAAATTCCAGGACAACTTGGGCTGTTATACAGAGAAACCTTATCTAAAAACAAACAAACAAACAAAAACTCAGGCGGTGTTGGCACACACCTTTAATTCCAGAGACAGGCAGATCTCTGAGTTCAAGGCCACCTAAGGGGACAAAGGGTTTATCTGACTCAGAATTCCAAGTTACAGACCAAGCATTTCAGGAAGCTGGGGTAGCAGGAAATCACACACATCCAGTCAGGAGCAGAGAACGAAGGCACATGTTTACTAGCGCTCAGCTCTTTCTCTACAGGTCAGATGCAGAAGAGAATTTCAATAGTGCTCAGGACTGGGGAAAAAATGAAGGGCATGATCCTTCCATGTATTTTTTTGTTAACTAGCTCTTGTAGACCAGGCTGGCCTTGACCTCAGAGATCCACCTGCCTCTGCCTCTCAGGTGCTGGGATTAAAGGCGTGCGCCACCACTGCCCGGCTAGTTGTTTATTTGTTTAAGACAGGGTTTCTCTGGGTAGCCCTGACAATCCTAAACTCACTCTGTAGACCAGACTGGCCTTGAACTCAGAGATCCTTCTCCCCCTGCCTTCTGAGTGCTAGGATTAAAGGCATGTGCCATCATATGTAGCCAATTTTAACTTAAAAGTTATTTTGAGGAGTTTCAACTTCCAATGAAAGTGGCCAGAGTGGCTAAGCAGTTAAGAGCATGCACTGCTCTTACAAAGACTCGGATTCAGTTCCTAGCACCCACATGGGAGTTCACGGCTGTCTGTCACCCTCTTTTGACCTCCATGGGCAAGCCTATGGCACACTTACATTCATGTAGACAAAGCACTCATATACATAAAACAAAAGTAAGCAAGCATATATGTATAGTATAAGAATTTTTTTTAATTCAATGAAAATAGATCCACTTTCTAAGAAAATGTAGACACAATTTTCTAGCTTGACTCCTGCCCTTTGAGTACTTGGCATTCTCTGGGTGACCACCCAACCCACCTCTACTTCAGATTCCTTTGCAGTCCCAGAACCAACCCTCCCTAGAGGCACAGGGTTCTAATTAGAGTTGATGGTGCAGTCCTGGTGCCATTCATATCCATTCTGTAACACTGCTCATAGTCATTCATGGACAAGTACTTGGGCCCTCCTTCCACAAAGCTGGTAGATGCTCAGGAAGCAATGGACAAACTCCAGCAAATGGGTACGTGACACTGAGAGACCACCCTGGTCACGGAAGGGTGAGCCTAATGATTCGGCTCCACTTCTAGACAGTCGTATCTCTTTGTTACTTAGTTAACTGCCACAAAACCTGAGAAATAAGCAACAGCCCAAGTGGTTTTTATTACCGAAAAACAACTGTCATACATACAGTGTCCCAATCCTATCCCTGAAGATAACCACAAGTGTCCTGGAATGTAAAAGGAAACCTTGAGAGAAATGGCACCTGGTTCTTAATACTTAACTTATAGTGAGTTCAATGGACCCCTAAAAACAGGAATGGATGTAGACTAAACATTTACTGTGTCTAGCATGCCAAGGGAGTATACTTAAACCTGATAACAGCTCCTCTAATGAGAACATACATGTAGGATTTCTTCAACGAATCCAACTTCTCAGGTTCCCCACAAAGAACAGCATGGGGGAGGGGTACTCAGAGTCTATAGACTGATACCACCTGAGTACAGAGGAACATACAGTTCTCAGCACCACTTCTAAAGGCATCCAAAAACAAAGTCTGCCAACCAGGGGCGCAGCTACCTGCCTGGCTCAAACTCCAAGATCTGGAGGTGTGGTCAGGCTCTGCAGCCTCATACCATCTGGACCCCTGGCTTCTTGGGCATTCCTTGAAGCTTCTCCATCTCCCTCGAGGATAGTCCAGAGACTGGCGGGGGCTCTCCTGGGGCTTCAGATAGCACACAGTAGACCATTTCTCGCTGGCCTTGGCTGACTGACTGGTTGACCATATGGATGGCAGAACTGGGGTTGTCCTGAGAAGCCGAGATGGCTGTTCCCTCTTCCTCTTTCACCTCCTCCTTAGGTCCTGGCCCCCCCAGCACTGTTTCTAGAACAATGCCCTGCAGGCTGCTTTCATTCAGTGCCACTCCTGGATCTGATCCTTCGTGTAGCTGCTGCAGCAGCTGCTGAGTCAGCTCCACACTCTCATAGCGAACCAGCTGCAGCCGCATGTAGCCATCTTCGTGCTCCTTGTACCTGGAGAAGACAGCAACCAGCAGATGGTGAAGGGACAATATGCTAGCCGGGAGACAACTTAGGACTCTACGTGACAGAACTGAAGCTTAAGAAAAGGTTTTTAATGGAATGCGGAGAAGAAAGGGTCAGAGGAGAGGACTCAAAATGGAAAAATTAATGGAGAAGCCCAAGGCAGAAGAGACTGATGCTGACTACGTAAGAGGCCAGAGTGTCAGTTTATGAGAAGGCCGTGGAGCTCAAAGCCAGGACCCTCAGCCTTTAACTCTTGCTCTGGCTGCTGGAGTTTTGGCATTACTTGTTGAATCTGAAACCAAGCTTCATTAGAAAAATCACAGCCTTGCATGATGGCACACACCTGTAATCTCACTGGAGGCAGAGACAGGAGCATCTCTATGAGTTTAAGGCCAGCCTGGTCTCCATAGCAAGCTCTAAGCCAGCCAGGGCTATACAGAGATCCTGTCTCAAAAACAAGTAAGAGCCAGGCACACACCTTTAATCCAAGAATTTAGGAGACAGAGGTAGGCAGATCTCAGTGAGTTCAAGGCCACCCTGGTCCTCAAAGAAAGCTCCAGAACAAGAACAAAAAAAAGTACAAAAATAATAAAACACAAAAACAATCTTTGCTCTGATGGGGTTGTCCTTCTGTATATGTTTATCTTATTGGCTGAAGAACAAAACACTGTTGGTCAATAGGGAAGCAAAATAGGTGGAACCAGGAGAGGAGGAGGATTCTGGGAAACGTAGGCAGAGTCAGCCACCAGTAGGGTGTGAGAGGAGTAACAGGTCCAGACTCTTTCTCCGGTAAGATAAGACCATGTAGAAATACAAAGATTACTAGAAATGGGTTAATAATTAAGACAGACCTAGTCAGTAAGAAGCCAACAGCCAACAGCTTTATAACTAATACAGCGTATGTGTGTTCATTTGGGGCTCATGCGGTAGTGGGCCCAGGCAGGTGGGAAGAGTTATCATAACATTGCTCCGTCACTATTTTTTTGTTTTGTTTTTCGAGACAGGGTTTCTCTGTGGCTTTGGAGCCTGTCCTGGAACTCACTCTTGTAGACCAGACTGGTCTAGAACTCACAGAGATCCATCTGCCTCTGCCTCCCGAGTGCTGGGATTAAAGGCGTGTGTCACCACCGTTATGTGCAATGGTGTTTTGCCTGTGTGTATGTCTGTGTGAGGGTGTCAGGTCCCCTGGAACAGGAGTTACAGACAGTTGTGAGCTGTCATGTGGGTGCTGGAATTGAACCAGGGTCCTCTTGGAAAAGCAGTCATTGCTCTTAACCGCTGTGCCATCTCTCTAACCCCCATCCACCACTATTTTTAAGTTGAGCTTAGACATAGATGGTGGCATCAAAGTACCATAAAGTTCAAAGTGTGTTTTTTTTCTTGTTAAAAAGTCTGTCATATGGCTCAGAGTGTAAAATGCTTGCCATGCATGCCTGATGACCTGAGTTCAGTATCTTGAATCCACACGACAGAGAAGAGAAACAACTCTACAAGTTCTGTCTCAACCTCTATAGGACTGGCTGGCACTCCCCCATACACAGAGTAGTAAACAAAAACAAGGTATTTATACACACCGAAAACGAGGGTGTCCTGATGGCCACTTGAACTGGTGCTTCTTGCGAAGGTGCACCGTGAGGTTGTTGCCACGTGTGAAGCATTTATCACAGACATGACATTTGTACCTTGGCTCTGAGTCTCCCTGATGAGGAAGGAGAAGGCAATGAGGTCAGCCTTTACTCGCACTCCTGAGAGCCCTGCCCATCAGCCACTTACCTCATGCACTTTGCGGTGATGGGACTTGATAGAGCTGAGAGACCGGGCACTGAAGCTGCAGTTCTCAAAGTCACACCTGTAGGCGGACTCCTTGCTGTGGGTGTCCAGGTGCTTCCGGAGGTCAATCAGATTCTTGCAACTGCCAGGAGAAATCAGGAGGGGTTGAAGGGCACAGGGAACCCTGAAACTTGAGCCCTGTATTTTGACCCCGGGTTCCCTTACCTGTAATCACAACAGTCACATTTAAAGGGCCGGTCATCACTGTGTCGAAAGCGAATGTGATTCCGCAGGGAGGAAGGCAGTGGGCAGGTCATGTCACACAAAGGGCATTTATAGTGATTCACTGAGGAGCAGAGAAGAAGCTATAATCTGTGGACTCACTCGACCTTGAAGGGAGGGCAGGGAGGCTTGGGTGCAGGCCACTCACCATGATTCCGCATGTGGTCACGCAACAGCCTCTCCGTGGCAAACCTCTTAGAACAGTGAGAGCACTGGAAACGCTGCTCTGGGGTGACGTGGGCAGAACAAAGGGTGACTGAGGAGAACAGTGAAGGGCAGAGGAGAGGGGAACCATCCCAGACAGAAGGGAGCCACCCGGGGAGCAAAGGGAAGCTACGGATGGGATTTGGATGCAGACCTGAGTTAGAAGCCCAGCTTTACCACTTACTAGCTGTATGATCTCAGGTAAGTGATTTACCCTCTCTGAGCCTCAGTTTCCTCATCTGTAAAAAGGGGAATAAGAAGCCTACCTCATGGGGCTGTTGTGAAGATTCCTGAGATAACTGATACCACAAACAGCAAGTGCTAAACGATGTCTAAGTCTAGGAGTGTCTGATCCCAAAGGAGAAGAGAGCCAGGTACAGAGATCCCTTCAGCAGCCACCTCCCCTGGGAACACAGTCTCATCTTCACTTTCAGTAGATAGCCCACACTCTCCCTCTTCTCTCCAAATGCTTACGATCCAGTGCGGTCTGGCGACGGATGTGATCTAAGAACTTGGTGTTGTTGGCAAACATGCCCCCACAAGTGGGACAGGCCACTACCTTCTCCTGGGTGTGGCTGCGGAGGTGTTCTCGAAGCTTACACCGGTCCTTGAAAGTACAGGTACAGCCTGGGAAGAAAGATCTGATCACATTCCATCCCTGAATCCCCTTCCCCAACTTGGCTCTGGTACCCCCAAGTTACTCCAGCCAGGAGGAGCCGGTTTTGTTTTGCAGGACTGGTCCCATTCCTGGCTCCTCTAGACCCTTAACACCTCCAGAGGCCAGAGCAGATGGTGGCCCTACCTTTCCAGCCACACAGCACCACATGGTTGTCCTTGCTGACTGCTTGGTATTCACAGCACAGGCTATGCGCATCCACGTGCCGATAGAACCACTCAGGATTGTCGAAGGTACTCTGTGCCGGGGCAACTTGGGGTGAGGACTGACAGTGCTTGGAGGGACTCTCACCCATGCCAAAGGGGACTTCTTACTCTCCCCCTATTAACTTGTGGGAATGGGAAGGTTTTAAAATAAAGGAGTAACACAAGAATAGAGGGGAGATACTAGAAGGAGTCTGAGAAATATGAGGTACCCCAGAAAGATCTTGACTCCAGATCCCCAGCTTCCATCCACCCCTATTTCTGACATTGTCAGCTGACCTCGCAATGTTCCCATAGACACAGGAAATGGTCAGGGATGTCAGGAATGACGTTCCGGCTCTGGAAGTCCAGGATGCAGGGACTGAGATCAGCTTGGCTTTGCAAGGCTTGCAGCCCCCACTGTTTCAGCTTAGTGTGGTAGCAGTGGAAGTAGACATGGCGGATGAGGTCAACAGAACTGTCCAGAGGGCAAAAGCCACACTCCTGCCACAAACAGGAGAATTCTTCCTCTGCAGAAAGGGGTTGAGAAGGAATGGTCTGATACTTTCCAGGGCTCAATTCACTTTCCATCTCAGACATTAAGCAAGATCCTGGCCAAGTCCCCAGTTCATTCAGTATGTAGCAGTGTCTAATGGCTTTCATCTGAATCAGGTATCATGGAGTCCTAGTCCTTTTAAGTAAACACATCTACAAAACTGCAACTGGTTGAGGGATGTGGGGTAATGTTATGTGGCAGCAGTTGAGTGTCACGGAAGTAGGTCCGCTGGCTTTGATCTATAATACCAGCACTCAAGAGGGTTAGGCTGGTGAGCTGACATGATTTCTACGTCAACCAGGGCTACAGAGTAAGACCCTGCCACAAATGAAGTGTTAAACAGAAGTAACAATGGAGTTAGAAAGAGTCCCTGCATTAAGACTGAATGTAAAAGAGAGGTTAAGAACGAATATCAGACACAGGGAGTCAGACACCCAGGCAGAACAAGTTAGGGTAACCCTTAGCAAATGTACAATCTGTGCTCAGCTTCTCATGGTCCCAGAGAAAAAGGACCTCTCAACACTGGTTTTCTAGTTCTCTTTTTGCTTCTAATCTGCTTATTTCAAGACAGGTCCATTATTTATTTCAACCCAGGTCCCATCTCTCCAGCACCTCTAAGCACCATTTTTTTTTTTTTTTTTGGTTTTTACGATACAGGGTTTCTCTGTATTGTTTTAGAGTCTATTGGTCCAGCCCGGCCTTGAACTCACAGAGATCCGCCTGCCTCTGCCTCCCGAGTGCTGGGATTAAAAGCGTGCGCCACCACCGCCCGACTCTAAGCACCATTTTTAATGTTCAATAGGAGTTTGCTTATTTTGAAAAGCTAAAATTTCAGAAAGTAAAGCCATCCTTAATTTCATTTTGGTGTATCATTTGACTATGGAAACAGGCTTGGTATACAACTATAATAATCCCAGAATCTCAGCAGGATCAGGACTTTAAATTCAGCCTTAGCTACATAACAAGCTTAAGGTCAGCCAGGGCTACATGAGATATCAAAGGAAAGAAAAAAGAGAGTGAACAGAATAGAGGAGCATTTCTGAGTATACTGAATAAAGCTGTTTAATTATTCTCTTAGCTATGATGTACAGTTATGATATAAACGTGTTCCCACAGCCGGGCGTTGGTGGCGCACGCCTTTAATCCCAGCACTCAGGAGGCAGAGGCAGGCGGATCTCTGTGAGTTCGAGGCCAGCCTGGTCTACAAGAGCTAGTTCCAGGACAGCCTCCAAAGCCACAGAGAAACCCTGTCTCGAAAAACCAAAAAAAAAAAAAAAAAAAAAAAAAGAGTACTTGTTGCTTTTGCAGAGGACCTGGGTTTGGTTCCCACATGATGGCTTATAACCATCTATAACTCCAGTTCAAGGGCATTCAATATCCTCTTTGGACCTCTGCAGGCACCAGGCATATATAGGGTACACATACACACATGCAGGCAAAACATTTAGACATGTAAAACAAAATAAATCTAACAAAAATATAAATAATTAAGTAATAAAAAGGGAAAGGCAGGTGGTGGTGGCGCACACCTTTAATCCCAGCACTGGGGAGGCAGAGGCAGGAGGATCTCTATGAGTTAGAGGCCAGCCTGGTCTACAGAGCAAGGTACAGGACGCTGAGGCTATCCAGAGAAACCCTGTCTCAAAAAAAAAAAAAAAAAAAAAAAAAAAAAGAAAAGAAAGAAAGGGGAGGCTGAGCATGGTGACACATACCTTTAATCCCAGTACATGGGAGGCACAGGCAGTGAGACACCTTTAACTTTAATACTGAGATCTCTATGAATTCAAGGCAAGCATGATCTACATAGTGAATTTCACACCAGCCAAGAATACAGTCTCAAAAAAATGGGGAGAGGGGACAGCAAGATGGCTCAGCAGGTATGGCATTTACTGCCAAGCCCATCAGAGTTTGACCCTGAGAGCTCACGTGGTAGAAGGATAACTCTCACAAGCTGTCCTCTGACCTCTACAATTATGCCACGGTGTGCTCACAAGTTACACACACAAAAAAGTAAATAAAGGTCACCTCCAAAAAATGTTTAAAGGAAGAGGTTCAGCAGCATGGTTTAGCAGGCCAGTGGTGATGGCACACATCAGGAGGCAGAGGCTATGAGTTCAAGGACAGCCTGGTCTACAAAGCAAAGACCAAGACAGGCTCCAAAGCTACATAGAGAAATCCTGTCTCAAAAACAAAACTAAACTAAACTAAAAACAACCCCCCCCCAAAAAAGGATGATTTAGCAGGTCAAGGATGTCGTGAAACCTACAATAGCTGAAGGGAAGAGCTGACTCCCCAAGTCGCTTTGTGATCTCCACTCTTGACCCATGGCATGTATGTGTCCACAACACATGTCCACAGAAACACAACTGCTTTCTTTGTAATCCTTCTTTACATCCTTGCAGAGTGAATTCTCTAGCAACGAGTTCACAGTGCTTTAATGAATGAAGAAGGCAGTACTGAGTATAGACCACTGTTCCCCCCCACACTCGAGCTCATTCCTGTTCCCTTACCCAGTGGGTCCTCCTCTTCCTCAGCGCCACGCACGTGCTGCTGCAGGTGCTGAGTGACATGCTCGAAGAACTCCTCCATGGCTGAACACACAAAGGAGCAGGACCCCCACTCACACTGCAGCCCCAGGTTCTCTTTCCGGGGAGCTTTTCCAGGAGGCGACATGGCCTTTCTCTTAGAGGAAGGGGAAGAAATCCAGTGCTGCTGGGGGCCAAGAAATGGACAGGCAACCTGTGGAGAGTCAGCAGGTGTCTTCAGTGTTGCTTGGCTTCCTGAGAAAAGACAACACACAATACTGTGCATGTGCCAAACACTAAGCTAAACACGGGAGCTAGCAGACATTTTCTCAAATAGCTTCAGAGCATATTCCTGTGGGAGACAGAACAAGGCTCAGCCTACCACCTACCTACAAGCTGTGAGGCCTTGGCAAAAATGGGGATAACAAAACTTTTTGCTCTGAATTTCACACTTACTATATGTCAAATACAATACTATTTTGTTAGGGCTGGAGAGACAGCTAGGTGGTTAAGAGCCCTGGAGCTTACCAAGCAGGCTAAACTGGCTAACCTGTGAGCTCCAGGGAGCTTTCTGTACTTCCCAGAGATAGGATTCCAGGCATTCACTGACCTTTTTACAAGATGGGGTCTCTCCCTTTACCTGTGGCTGTCCTGAAACTCACTATGTGGACGAGGCTGGCCCTGATTTGCCTGCCTGTCTCTCAATTACTGGAATTAAATGCCTGTACCACCACTATCAGCTACTGAACTTTTTTTTTAGTGTGAGCTCGAGAGATCAAACCCAGGGCCTCCTGATGTTTGTGAAGCAAGCACTTACTAACTACCTCTCCAGTCTCATATTAAGCATTTTATTTGCATCATGTAATTGATGACACTACCCTATGAGGTAGGTACCATTTTAAACTTCATTTATGGATAACCTAACACTGACAAAGATGAATTAATTTATCCAAGGCCACCTAATGATGGTAGGTCAGCCTAAAGTTCATATTCTTATTCCATATAGCCTACATATGACCCAGAAACTTTCTAGAATTATTAAATATCTTGCCTGACTTTCAATAACATCCAGTCTGTCTTTGCTTTGCCTACCCAATACTTGATCCTACAACTCCTTTAACGTTAAAATAAAGATTCCATTGGAATGTAGGAACCCTATCTATTTATGCTGTCTTCAGTGTCTACCTTTGCTAAATATTCCTAAGAATATAACAAATAGAGCCAGGCGGTGGTGGCCCACGCCTTTAATCCCAGCACTCGGGAGGCAGAGGCAGGCAGATCTCTGTGAGTTCGAGGCCAGGCTGGACCGATAGCCTCCAAAACAATACAGAGAAACCCTGTCTCGTAAAAACCAAAAAAAAAAAAAAAAAAAAGAATATAACAAATATTTGTTAAAGAAAGATGAGAACAAAGTTAAAGGTCCATGCAAAATTTCTAGGAGGAATGTTAACAGGGTGGATCATCAAAACAGTGAGATGGCTCAGTGAGCCAGGAGGTGGTGGCCTTCGCCTTTAGTCTAACTTGGTCTACAAAGCAAGTTCCAGGCCAGTCAAAGTTACACAGAGAAACCCTATCTCAAAAAACAAAGGCAGGGGCTCAGTGGAAAAACCAAAACCTAAAAACAAACATGCATGTTATACTAGCCTGACAACATGAGTTTGAGCCCAGGAACCCACATAAAAGTGTTAAGAATTCACGCCACAAAGTTGTACGCTATCTTCCACACGCACACTTGGCATGTGTGTGCCCTGTCATCATCACACACACACACACACACACACACACACACACACACACACACACACACCAAATTTCCTTTAAAGAGGGTGGTGGAGTTTGGAATGGTGGTGCTAGCCTTTGAGGCAGAATGGTCAGCCAGAGCTACAAAGACTGTCTCAAAAAAGAAAGCCACCCGGTACTACACGCTATGTATACGGGTACGTCTGTGTGGAGAGAGGATCAGACAAATGGATGGAGAAGGAAAATGGAACCAAACTCCTTGGTTTTGTGATCTTAAATTACCTAACCCATGTGGGCCTAACACACTTGTAGGGCTCAATAAGGGTTAGCTACACATATCCTTGTTTCTGAGCTGATGGGGAGGGGGCTGGTACCCGGCCCGCAGGATCCCTACCTAACGTTTCTAACATTTCATCAGTAGTCACAGTAAGAAACCATCCCTCAACAACAGAGTACATAGTGTCGCTCCGCACCAATGAACTGTGAGCCAGCCGTAATCCAGAAAGAGAAAGGCCCGGGTTCTAAGCAAGGATTCACAGACGAGGATCTGGAGGCTGAACACGGTAACCAAAACAAAGCGCGCGACGAGGGTGATCGGGACACAAAAAGGACCGTAGGCAGGCCCCCAGGGAAGGCTCACCTAGGCGGTGAGGCCGGGGCAAGGCTCGGAGGACGGCTAGAACTCCGAGGAGGTAGGAGATAGTCCCGGAGCGCCAAGCCGGGAGGGCTTCCCGGAATCCTCCGCGTCAAGCGTGGCGCTGACCGAGTCCAGCCGCAGCGACCCCTAGACCGAGAGCGCGGAGGCTGAGGGCCGGCTCGGACGCCTCGCCAAGCCGCTCCAGGACGCCTGGCCTTCCGCAAACCCGAGAGTCGCCCTAGTCGCCAAGCACCAAAGCTTCAGACTCAACTCACCTGCCAGCGCCGCCGGGCTGCCCTGCGCCCCACCCACCTCACACCATATACCCGGAGGCGTTTGAGAGACAACCAGAGACAGCCAATCGCCGCTTTCGAGTCGGCCGACAGCCAATCGCCGCTGCGGCGGACGGAACCCGAGCGCACCAAAACACGGAAGAGGCGGGAACTGTAGGGGGCCGGGCTCCGTGTCACAAGGGGTAGAGTGAGGTACGACCGGACGTGGAAAAACTTAGCGTCACCCGAAAAGGGTGTTGCGGGGGGGGAAGGGGGGCTTGTCTAGGCTGTGCGCAGGCGGGAAGCTCTGAGACTTGAATGCCCTCTACTGCGCAGACTCCGCGTCAACCACGTACTGGGCATGCGCCTAGATTGGACTGGTGCGCCTTTTAGCTCAATGTTTCTTGTAGTTAGCTGGCTGGGTGGTGAGTCCACGTTGGGGCCCTAGATTCATCTCTGATCTTCTTCGTCTTCTCTGTTCTGTGTACACCAGGCTGACCTTGAACTCACAGAGATCCTCCTGTATTTGCAGTCCAAGCGTGGGTATTAAAGGCATAGGCCAACACCTTTGCCCAGTGACCTTAACTTTTGGATCCATCTGCTCTACACAGGCTGAGATTATAAATTTTGCCACCTCACCACGTTTATGTGCTGCTGAGGGATTCAATCAAGGACTTCTGCTTGCTAGACAAGCGCTCCACCAACAGCCACACACCCACCCCTGGATTCTTTCTTGGACATATGGTCACTCATTCATTTATCTTCATTCTCATTCTAGACCACGAATAACACCCATTTCCGATTTCCACACTCAGTTATTATGTCCCACTGCACTTCCCTACAAGGCACCCTCCACACAGCTCAGCAAAGCGATCTTTAACAAAACCAGATCTGATCAAGTCGCCAACCTGTGAAGATATTCAAAGGCATTCTGTTGCCTTCAGTACAAAGTCCTCAAACCAAACTCCAACACCTGGGTCCCGCCTGCAACACATCCTATCCTGAGTCTTCGACCTCATTTCCTGCACCTCAGCCGCAAATTTCAGTTTCCCTACCACATGGTAGCTTCATTTACTTCTGAGGATCTGCACTTGTTTTTCTCTAAATGAAAATCTCCCCTTCCAATTATGTTAGCTGACTTCCTACCCATTCTTGTGTTTCCAGTGGTGACAGTGGTTCCTTCTCCAAGAATTGACTCTCCTTATTATGGTATATTACATTTCTGTTTCAGCCTTATTAATTAATTTAGAAATTCATGATTCTAGCACTACTTCATAAAATGCTTGCCCTCATGTCAACTTAGAGTAATAGTACTGAAAACGGTACTTAGCTGTTTTAGTAATTCCATGAAGAAAAAGAGATATGTGAATTCAAACAGTTTTCAGGGCACAAATTTCAGTATTTTTATGAATCTATGTTTCCAGATTTTAATTATTAGGATGTGGTGAGCTATGCCTTTAATACTAGTGCTAGGATGTGGGGGTAGGTGGCAGAGGCAAGCAGGTCTCTGGTTCTGAGTTGGGGGCCAGGCAGATAAATACAGTGAGACCCTGTCTCAACAAAAACAAATAATGTTCAGATTCAAAGGCTTGTTTCCTAGTATAGTTTTATCTTTTTCTTTTTTTTGAAAGGGTCTCTGGCAGGTGGATCTCTGTGAGTTTGAGACCAGTCTGGTCTACAAGAGCTAGTTCCAGAACAGTCTCCAAAGCCACAGAGAAACTGTCTCAAAAACAAATAAACAAAAAACCCAAACAAACAAAAAATGAAAGGATCTCTGTGTAGCCCTGGCTGTCCTGGAACTCACTCTGTGAACCAGGCTGGCCTCAAATTCACAGAGATCTGCCTACCTCTGCCTCCCAAGTGCTGGGATTAAAGGTATACTCCACCACCACCTGGCAACTTTAATCTTTTATTGAGAAGAAACCACAACTTTGGCTGGATTATCCAGACATTTTCTGAGATTTGTTTTCTAAAGCTCCACCCACCCATCATCATTTACATTCATTAAAATCTATGGATTGGGTCAGATGTGAGAACTCATCTTTAATCCCAGCACTAGAGAGAAGGGTCAGTCTGAGCTAGAGAATTTCAAAGCCAGTCTGGGTAATTTATACCCTACCTCTAAAAGGTAAAAAGGGATTTGGGATACAATTAAGTGGAAGTTTATGTGTGCTAGTTGGTGGAGGCACACACCTCTTGTCCCAGCACTTAGGAGGCAGAGGCAGGTGGATCTCTGTCAGCTCGGAGGCCAGCCTGGACTAGAAAGTGAGTTCCAGGACAGCCAGGGCTACATAGAGAAACCCTGGCACAAAACAAGGAACAGCCAAGTATGATGGCACATACCTGTATTCTCAGCCCTGGGAATCTCTAAGGCTGAGCCACGGAGCAAGACCCTGTATCAGGGGTGAGGGTAATCCATGACGTCTATTCACGAATCCAGTCCAGAGTAATTTATACATAAACGTTACAAGTGACTTGATTATACAAGGCCATTCTCATTAGAGGTGAAGAAATTGGGGTCCAGAATGGAGAAGTAGCTTGTGCTAGATAAGGAGATGTTTGTGGCAAGCTTAGTTTCCTGCCTGTTGGTCCTGCATTCTGCACAACCTTCTATAGCAGCTTACCTGGTACAAGTCCTGTGTGACATCCCAAAGGACAGGAAACAGGGACATATCTGTAGGTATCTAACACTCACCCATGTTAGAAATGGACTTTAGGACTTTTTGGGGGGGGGGGTGTCAGGTCTCACTATTATAGCTCTGACTGGCCTGTAACTCAGAGACCCTGCAGCTTCTGACTCCAGGTACTGAGATTAAAGGTTTATGCCACCACACCTGGCTCCATCCATTTTTTTAAACGATTAAACAAATCCCAGGGCCTTGGGTATGCTAGGATAGTCCTCTATTTTTGAGCTATGACCCCAGCTCATATTCCTCACCCCCCCCTTTTTTCTTTTTTTTTGAGACAGGCTTTCTCTGTGTTGCTTTGGAGTCTGCCTGGAACTCTCTCTGTAGACCAGGCTGGCTTCAGACTCAGAGATCCACCTGCCTCTGCCTCCCAAGTGCTAGGATTAAAGGCTCGAGCCACCACCAATTTACAGAAGAAAAAATAAAACTGAACACACCACCAGGTGTGCTGCTAGTGCACACCTTTAATCCTAGCACTCAGAAGGCAGAGGCAGAGGCATCTCTGAGTTCAAGGACAGCCTAGTCTACATGAAGGCGTTCCAAGCTAGCTAGGGAACATAGGTGAGACTCTGGATAAAACACACAAAAGCAGCTGAGCACCCATCTTGGCCATGCTCACAAAGGTGACTAGTGGAGCTAGGTCTCACATCAAAATAGCCCAGGTCGTGAGTCTATACTCTGACCTCTGTTATGAACTCAAATGGAACAGCCTGAGAGAGGGGGATGAAGACAAGTGAACTAGCTGCTTTTCTTCTGGCGACTCTGCTTGTCAGAGTGTTATCACTCAAACCTCTTTACGTGTCTTTGTCTTCTGCCCTTCCTCACTACTTGGGTTAGTGCCAATGATCCTCCTCTTCTATCAATCTTGCTGCCTGTTTGCTTTCCAAAGGATACCAGCAGTTCTCATCTATAAACTCCAATTTGACTTTAATTAAATAAATTAAATTCCAAGCCATCACACAGCAATGGACATCATCATCCCCCAACATACAGAGGTGCAACCTTGCCCTATGATCATACATGTCTTTAAAGCTCCTAAAGCTATCTCTCTAGGGAAGGCTTCCTACCAGCCTCCTGGCTCCCTCCTTCTAACTGAGCCACTGCTCATGGAGAAGGCATCAAGTACAAAATGGTAACAAAGGGAAGGAGAAAAGAGGAGCAGTGTGGGAGGTAGGGAAGTGGGGAGTACCTGCCCCCCAACCTGGGCACTAGCCCAGCTTCCTATGATCTGCCAATGTCTTCCTGAGACAGACATTGGTGCTTGTCTAAGTGGGGACCCCCAAGAGAGGTGTAGAAACTCCTCCTGGAACTTGCCTTACCCTCCTGGGAGAAAAGGGTCACCTGTGAGATGCCCTCTAGCATCTGTTTGCCAAGGGTCCTAGACCACACATATAAATAGAAAAGAGAATAAATAAGGGAGAAGGATCTGCCGAGGAGATAAGTGCCCCGGGGCTCCTCTCTGGGGGCAGTACCAGCAGAGGGCATAGGCTTCTGAAGAATGCCATGCATGCTAAGACAGAGCCTGCCCCTTACTCCCAGCTGCCAAACTCTCTCCTATGTCCACAGCAACGAGTGCCTGCCTCTCAAATGCTTCCCATGTCAATCACCCTTCCAGTTTACCCCACAGCCCTGAGTGCTGGGGCTTCTTGGAACCCAAGGGCTTTCCTTGCCCCAGCACTGGGAATCCAGAAAGGGGTAAAAAAGGGGATGTGGGGAATGGACCAGAGAACTCTTGCCCTCTCCTAGTTCAGGAGGGCTCTCAGAGCTGGGGGTTGGGGTTGCCATTGGCCTTGGGTTTGGATTTGAAGGAAAACCGCTTGATAAGGCGACGAGAAAAGCTGCCAGCCTTCTTTCGGACACTAGGTGTGGCCGTTGTGTTAGAGAGGTCATCGTGTGATTGGCTCAGACCAGCTTCCTTCTGTCGGGGCCTCCGGCGGAAGATGAGCTTAGTGCCACTGCGCAGGAAACTCACTGTGGGGAAGAAAGGGAAACTGAAGCAGACAGAGGGGCCCAGGAATGGGGTGAGGATGGAGAGAAGACTTAGGACGTTAGGATAGAAGATGAAGGATGGGAAGTCTCTTGCCTAACGCCTGCTTTCTCAGAAAAGGAAGTGGAAGCACACGAGCTTTGCCCATCCTGAGGAAGGAGCAACGTTCTGGGGGAGGGAATCTGTGTGCACCTCTGACCTATCCCCAGGGAGAATAGCAAGGGTAGGGACTGCGGTTCTGGGAGGACACGCTGGGACTGAGCCTCCTTCTGTGCAGGGATAGACAAAGGCTGCACAGAGGGTGCTCCTCAAAGCC